GGGTGAAGGCTCCCAGGGCGAGGACTCCCGGGGTGAGGGCTGCCCAGCAGCACGGGGGAACAGCTGTCCCTCGGAAGGGAAACGTCAGCACAGGGGCAGCCCCAGGCCCTTGTTGCCCCCCTGCCTTATCCACCCCAGGAAGAGGCTGCGGGCGGCAGCCCCGAGCGCCCCACTCTGCAGCGTCACCGGCGACGAGCCCATCTCGGACAGCGAGATCGAGCAGGACCTGCGGGGCCCGGAGGAGATCCGGGCCTTCAGCAGGGCCAAGGCCTGGCCCTGACCCTGCCCCTGCCCCAGAGACACCAGGGCCCCAGGGACTGAAACCTGACAGAGCTGTCACACTGCCAGTCACCCCAGGGAGCTGTGGGCTGTGTCGTGTTTCCTGTTCGTGGACCAAAACGGGGCTTTTTTACAGTGTAAGTGCTGTGGGTTACCTTCCATTTCTGTTTAAAATAGACAAGTGCAAGTGCCAGGATTGGTTTCTGGATCCTCCCCTCCCTCTTTGCAGCCTATGCTGAAAGGTGTTTTGCTCAGTCCCAGCCCTGCTGGCCACTGTCACCAGTGGGTTTGTGAGGGTCAAGGTGATGCCTGGACTGGCTGAGAGAAAACTGCCCTCATCTGGTTAAATCCAGGATGTGAAGCTGCTGGAAACATGGCAAGGTTTGCCTGGGGTCTGCTCACACGGTACAACTGCCCCCTCTGTGCCCATTGGCTGCAGGAAATAACAGTAGAACTTGGCAGATTGGCAAATCTTTAATATATTAAACAAAACATAATCTGCTCGAAACATTCTATTTATATAAAAATGTAAAAAGGCCCCTTTAAAGACATTTCTTTGGCATACTTTCCCTCCCTCCCCCCGGATATTGCAGGAAGCTCTGTTGATATGTCATTTGCTTGTAATGTAAACAGACCAAAAAAAAAAAAAGTGTAATTAATAATACAAAGCTTTTCATATAATACTGTCACAGTGCAGCAAGCATACATAGCAAGGCAGCGTCAGCAAGGTCGTGTGGGCTGTGGGACCAACAATCAAGGTTGAGGTTGTATCAAATACCAGGCACAGGGAAAGGTGGGGAGCCCGGGGGTGCCCCAGCCCCACAGGTGAGGGTCCCCCAAGGGCTTCTGCAGCTCAAACCCACCACTAAGTGCTTTTCCCCCACTGCCTCCCCTCGGAGGTAGCTAAATGATGGAACCCATTTGCATTCAGGAGAAACTGAGGCTGGGAAGGGCAGAGGAGGCACCAGGATCCCAGCCTGGCTCCTTTCCATCCCTCCCACAGCTGTGGTGGATGGCAAGGGGTGAAACAGCCCCGGGGCTGCGAGTGCTGCACCTTGCCTGGCTGTGGGGTAAACAACCTCCTCTCCTCTTAGGAAACCTTTGGGCCCTGGCAGGGAGCAGCTCCCGGCGCCGGCTGCTGCCTGCAGAGTGGGCTCTTTATCTGCACATTAGAAAAAAAGGGGGGGACACTTGTTTTCAAACGAGGAAAAATAAGTGCTTATCCAAGTTCCAGCCCTTTGAATGCATCGCTTGAACTGTCCAGGGAAGGTCCCTAATTAATTGGCCTCATTCTGCCACTTTCCCAGGAATGGCCCCTGCTCCCTGGTGATCTCCTCTCGTCTTACACGAGTGCGAGGCCGGTAGCTGGGGGACTTCTCTGCCTTCCTGAGAGCAAACCGAAGTGCTCTCAGCGTGTGCACCCCTGGGCAAAGGACAGGGACCCACCTTGGGTCTCTGCACATGCTCAGCTCTTTGGTGGTTTGGTGGAGAGGGTCAGTCCCAGCTCCACCAGCCCATCCCATTGCACAGCTCATGCCTCTGAGGGCTTTGGGAGCCTTTTCAGGCCAAGATTTTAGTGTCTGGCGTTGGAAAGGTGCAGGCAGTCACCTCGCCGTGGGGCTGAGGCTCCTCTTACCTTGTGCTTGCTTCTCAATATGGCTTTTCCTTTGGCAGCCGCGTAACCCACAGGGTGAAGCGCCAGCGTGAGCACACACGGGTACAAACTTCAGCATGTAACATTTCAGAGGGAGAAGCTGCTCTCTGACTCGCTCAGGGCAGCTTGCTCAGGCTGGGTCACACAGGCCTTGGCACCCAGTGTGGTCCCTTTGGTGGGAATATTGCTGTTGGGGCAAAGCGCCCGGGGCCCTGCCCGCTCCTGGAGAACACTGGTCGGTAACGAGGCACTCGCATCACTTACTGATCTGTCTATACATATATACATTCAATAATATAGCTTTGAAAAATAGACGTTTTCCTCTGTATAATATAAAATAGCATTTAGGATCAGTCTTAAGTGACATGCAGGAGTGATGAAAGCATGGCTGCAGTTCAGGCTGCTGAAGAGCAAGGATTGCCTTTCGCCTCGGGAAGCTTTGAGCCTCCGCAGGGATCGGGCCAGGCCCGGCATCGCCCTGTGCCCGGGGTGAGCCGGACCCCCCGGCCCCACTAGTGCACGTGGTGATTCCTGCAGCGTCCCCTCCTCACGGGCACCCCAAGCAGCTCCAGCGGAGGCTCCCGGAGGAAAACGCGGCGCTGCGGCCCTCTGGTCCTGCCCACCTTCACACGGTGGTTTCGCTCTTCCAGAGGCCGGTCTTCATCCCGGCCACGCTGTCGGCGCTGGCCAGGTTGATGTCGTACTTGCTGCCCTTGAGGCCGCCGTTGTGGCTGGCCACGTTCAGCGGGTAGGAGCGGCGCTTGGCCTCCCTCTCTGCAGCGCTGCCCTG